GTGGTGGTTCCATAATGGTCTGGGCTGTTTTTACATGGCATGGACTCGGTCCTCTGGTGCAACTGAACCGATCATTGACTGGAAATGGATACCTTCAGCTACTTGGAGATCACTTACAGCCATTCATGGACTTCACGTACTGAAACAACGATGGGATTTTTATGGATGACAATGCGCCATGTCACCGGGCCACAATTGTTCGCGATTGGTTAGAAGAACATTCTGGACAATTCCAGCGAATGATCTGGCCACCTAGATCGCCCGACATGAATCCCATCGAACATTTATGGGACATCATCGAGAGGTCAGTTCGTGCCCAAACCCCTGCACCGTCAACACTTTCACAATTATGGACGTCTATAGAGGCAGCATGGCTCAATATTCCTGCAGGGGACTTCCAACGACTTGTTGAGTCCATGCCACGTCGAGTTGCTGCACTTCGCCGGGCAAAAGGAGGACCGACCAAATATTAGGAGGTATCCCATGACTTTTGCCACTTCAGTATAGGTAAAAAATTAGTCATCAAGTTGAAGAAACCTGTGAAATTATCATTATATTGCGACCATAAGAATGTTTTTACATGAAGCGAAACGTTTATATTTGTGACTACATTGATGTAACTTAATGGAGGAAAGAAATCTCTACTCACATCGTGTTAGTAACAGCTAACACCAAAATACGATTAAACTATTGCAGTACCAATGTTCATTCACTGGGCGAAGAGCATTCTGCAATATATTTCATGTCGGTAGTTCGCAAACCTTTTGATTCGCGGAACAGTTTTTAGAATTAATTTGTCTGGTGGAGCCCTTTTAGGCATAGGGTGCGTCATAGAGTTAATAGTGTTTAGGAGTATTATTTAATAATGTTTATGAATAATAATTATTAGTTTAGAAAGAATAATTAGTAGTAAGTTAACAGTATTTAGGAATAAAGAGTGGTAAAATTAAAAAAAGAAAGTAAAGTAAAAGGTACTTAAGCAGTTGCACAATAGCCATGAAATGAAGTTACTTTGAAATTAACCTTAGCATCTCGGTTTATTTTCAACTACTACAAATACTTGATATACCCTAATACCACAACTACTTTATACAACTACCACATGTATCACTGTATTGCCGTACAAAATAGTGATTTCGAGGTTCAATAACTAAATCAAACATTTTGCATAAGTTATTGGTGGGAGCAACAATGAAATAAGGTGAAAACAATAAACACGGCTTCTCCAGTTTAATCATTATAACCAATTCGGTTCAAATACATATTCGTTCGTTATTTATTATTTGAAACTTTATTATTCACAGCAGAAAACGAATTCAATTTTGTTTTATTAACCAAAATGCACTACAGGGTAGTATTAAGCCTAAATCATGATATAACATAAAATAAAGTTTTAAACGTTTAATGAGACATGCACAGTTGCACCTTTCAGTACACATTTCTCATTGTAGGTTTAGCTGATGAGAGAAGAATGTGTGGTTTTGCATGTAAGCAGATTTTGTACTTTATTTTAATATTTCTAGTATAGGGAAAGTATCCATACCACAGAGATACATAGTTTAGAAAAGCAGCATACTCATCTTACTTTTTCAGACAAAATTTTGAATTCGTCTTGTAAATACTTCCACTAGACATTGGCTTTCGAACTCGATTATTATTTCTATGTGACTACAAGGAGCTCGTATTCTTCTGATTTTAAACTGGTTTCTTTGTTTAGACACCAAATTAAACTTATTTTGTTCACTCTAAACAAAAAAACAAGCAGCTTCTCTTGTGTTGTTGGATGAAATAGTGTTCAAACAAGTCTTGCAAAGCTTCGAGATTCGCCTGAATATTTTGCAATATTTTGACTTGAATCTTGATGTCATTTTAATTCTAGAAGCTTTGAGTAAGAGGATGTCAATCCATATCTTCTTTTTCTATACTCTCTGAAGAGTACATAAAATTCCTCTCAAAAGAAGATGCTTCAGAGTTTGCAACCAATTCTGTGAAATTATTTCTTTCCACTGATAGATTTTGATTGATTTATTTTGTCTTTTTGCTAAAAATGCCGGGAAAACATGATAGTTTTCATATACAAGATTCATCATTTAAACTACTTATCAAGAGAAAGTTGTGATCTATCAAACCTATTGCTTATCAGTTTCAGTGCTTTCTATGAGACAACCAGCTTGCTACTTTTAACTATAGTCAAAAGTCGTTAATTCGGACACCCATAATCCGGAATAATCTATAATCCGGACCTCAAAGCTAAAAACTTTCTGCGCATGCGCCGCGTTGACACATGCGCATAGGCGTTTACGCGTGCGCGTAAGACCTTTAAGACTGCGCATATGCGTGTGCGCAAGCGCAGAATACGTTTTCCCGTGCGCGTTTTATGTATAACGGACGGTATAAGCTAAAATTATCTAATTATCTATTTCAGTTAATGTTGATGATTGCGTTGTTCCTTAATCTTCGAATTGGATCCGGCTTATTATTTTTTGCAGACTGTAAGAGCAATTTTATAAAAGTAAACTTGAACTTTCGATTATGTCAAATAGAATTTCCGATGCTGGAGCTCCCAAAGGATCTACAAAACGAAAGTATGTTTCTATGTCCATCAAACAAAAAGTGGAACTGCTGCAAAAAAGGAATAAAAATATGAAGAAGGTGACAGAGAGGTTAGTGAAAACGAAAAAATTTCGATTGACAAGTTAGTCGGTATTCTCGGCACAGCAATTACGGGACTTGAACAGCGGAACTTTGTAACTGAACAAGAAACTATGTCTGTTTATAGAATTAAAGAGAAAGTATTATCACATAAAACGAAGCAACTTAAACAACTTGCATTAAAAGAAATGTTTAATAAAGTAAACAAATAAATATTAAGCTTTTTTTTTATAAAGTTTTATACCCTTTAGATCATAATTGTTCTTTATTTCATAAATTACTGTTTCATATTTTTAATTTTAGAATTTCTGCATGCCATCTTACGAGATTTAAACTGATGATCTATAATCCGGAAAAATCGATAATCCGGAATCGCCGAAGTCCCGACGAGTCCGGATTAACGACTTTTGACTGTACTAACCAGGCTACTATTAAAACTACTATCAAAGCAACGTCACTCGATTTATTCACCTGTAGCGCGAATCTGGTACATCTAGTGCGACTTATAAGTGTCTGTTTCACGTCATCAGCCATATCCTTAAATTGTCTTTAATTTTGTTACAACCTGATACAAAACTTAAAATAACTTGCATTTGAAAAAAATCAAATTAACATCTACATTTAAATTCATGGAAAATATGCCATGTTTGCATCATTTGAACTGCCAAACCCGCTTCTCGTTATCGGAAACTTGTTGATGAAGCCTTAGCAGGCATTGGAAAGAATCTTATCCACCCGTGTAATAATGATATTCCAATTCGTTAAACTCTCGATTTTTATTTCTCAGTTTATCATTTTATCACTAGAATTAAAGGTCGCAAATATATTACAATATACATAAAGTATCAATGAGAGAATTTTATATTATAACATCAATCACTGAAAAAAGTAAGTTATGACTAACTGAAACTGATCTGCCATAATGTAACACATTATTGCTCAGGTGTCTGTTCTTTTCACAGAAATGTTTTATCATTCTGTAACGAGTTGTATTATTAAAGTCCTGCACTCCGCTATTTTAAATTGTTTTATAATTATCCACAAATAAAATGAAGGTGTGCCATAGATTTCTAGACACAGTTAAATTGCTGGCGTCAGGATCCGTGAAATTATTTATTTGTAAGTACTATGCTCTCAAGAAATATCGAATAATAATTTGTAACTAAAAATATTGTTCCAACTTGCTTTAGCTAACTTACAACATAAGATTAAAACACTTTCTTGTACAATAATAACACGTTTAGCAGTACGACGGAAAAATTAAAACATTCTGTTTCTGTAATAAATATTTATTACCATCATACATTTAAAAGTGACAATTTGACCCGGAAAAGAAACTAAACCATTTTCACTTTACTTTGTTTTCAGTATTCCTGAAGAACGTTTTAAAACTGCAAATTTTAACCACTGTAATTCAAATGTTTTATTACTGTGTATAAAATGTTAATGTATTAAAACATACGTCTCTGTACTTGACCAACTCGAGAAAAATAGTTAAAATAGTCGAAATCAAAGGATTATAAATCAGATGGAACACATAACCCTAAAAGCTTCGACTAGAAATTCCCGCGAACAGGCAACAGTCGTAAAAAAAGCCATTTTTACTATTAGGTCGTGATTACGCAGAGTGTAATGGGATCCGAAACATTCGTTTTCATATATTTTGCATTACATACAAGGCACTTAACATCGCTCAATTCTAGCAAGCAATTTGTCACATTCTACAGTCTGTTTATCATAAGAAAAGCTCTTGCCAATTAGTCTGCAGCTGTCTGTTTCCGTGGAAACGAGCCTTGATCCATTTTTCGTAAGGGTGTTTTGAAGATTTACTTTTCAGTTTGCCATCTTGGAGTATTTAAAGATGAATTGGAAACCCTTGGTTCGCCCCTATTTGAAATATACTAGCCATGTTGCTATAGCTATCGCCACCAGCTAGACCCTTTGGCGGGAGTTGATCTTCTCATAGACAGATAGTACATAAGATGAAACATTGATATGTGACATGACTGAACATGCAAAATTCCCGTCTATTTTCCTGAACGAGCTGAGGAGTGTCTAAGAAGCCCTAAAGACAATGCCTGTGAACTCCTGTTAACTGCTCACATTCGGGGCACAGGAACTCCGGAACCGCTGTTCTAAATTTCTGCGAACAATTAATTTAATAGATGCGGTAAATTCCTTATTTCAGTTAATGTAATATATGACGTATCTCTTAATTGATATTTAAGGAGCATATTATTTCTTACAAAATAACATTTAATTTGATTATTTATTAAAAATTCATATCATATTGTCTTTGTTGTTTTGCTTACATTGTTCACAACTTGTTATGTTTTCTTATTTTGCAGGTATATTCAGGTTCACCCATACTAAACACGCAGTACTATTTAAATACTTCGGAGCCAGATTATGTGCGGTACATTCTGTCCTACAAGAACCTTATCGCAGAAACAGCTCGCCTACTGAAAGCTCAAGAAGCGGTAGTGAAGAGGGATATTGAAGCCATGTTGCAGTTTGAAGTCGATTTTGCCAATGTGAGTTGAAATTATGAATTATTTTTTAATTTCTTCTAATAGAAGGATCATTGGTTGTCAGATAAAATTCCATTCTTTATACGAATTTCTGTTTGGTTTTTGCTAAAACATAATATGCTTTTGATAATCTCCTAAAAAAACAGCATATTTATTCAATATAAGAATATATACTAATATTTAAAACTAAAGAATAAAGAAAGTCTGAAAGCTCTCAGATTTTATATTACTCTTAAATGGGCGTTTTTTTTAAATTTACACACACATACACGATTTTAAAGTATGTATTTGGATTAACGCAACGTTGAATTAAAAATATTTAAAAACAGCATACCTTTAGAATTTCCTTAGACAGTCTCGGACGCTGGAGATAAAAGTGTTTTATTCCGGACTGTGTTGGCACTGCTGGCTTTGAAGTCGTTGAGTTTTTTAATAAAAAAATCTTTAAAGTTTTACAAAATATAAAATAGGTAATAAAAGAAAAACGAAATTCAAAATTCGGGCTTCCAAGTGCCCATGTTCGAAAGGACTATATTATTCAAAAGTGAGTGGCTTTAGGTACCGTTATGTTTTCACAGTGGGAGAAACATACATGCATTCATGTAGATTCTTGTAGAATTCATGTAGAATTAATAATGTGGAAATGCGTTGTGAAGTGTACTTTTCCGAAAGAGGAGACCAAATATTCTTTTAAACAGTTGCATTTTCTAAAAGAGGTGACGCAATTTCCTGTTTTTAATTGTTTATTTATTCATTTATATTAGGCACTAATCGAAATATTTTAGTATTTTTCAACCTGTAAATACTAAAATGTACAATTTTTTAAATGTTGATATAAAATTTCTGTGTGTCATTTTTTGTAAAAACGTTTTCTATGATTTTAGTAATTATTCTTTGTTATGCTTTCATTTCGAACAACAGTGCAAAACCCTAGATCTACTAAGCTAAATTTATAAATTAAGTATTCTAGGTAACCAAAGTTCGGAACTGAAATATATATGCGGAAACCAAGTGCAAAAGACTATGATTTTTCTTAACTGAAACACAAAATAATATGCTGTCAAAGTTAACATTCCGTGTAACTGAGAATTAGTTTTGAACTGTACTTCTTGTACCAATTCTGGTTAGCAGATTCAACCGAAGGGGCAATTGAGTTAAAAATAATTAATATCTGTTCACTGACTAGCTTGTCGAATTTTCAGAGAAATGATGAGAACTTCTAATTCATATGATTCTAATTCTTATATAGAGAACTTCTAACTCAATGTTTCTTACAAAGTAGCTTTAAATTTTAAACATGATATGTCTGGTTACAATAGAATATACGTATGACATGATATGTCATGTCATATTATGTCATATAGACATATCATGTCATTAAACATGATATGTCTGGTTACAATAGAATATACGTATATTTAAATATTATAGTATGGGGAAAGTATTGTATAGTGTTATGTGATACAATAATACCAGTATGTTTGGAGAACATATATTAGCATATAAAGACAGTAAAAGGGTAGGGTATATTATTTTACAATATCATTATACTTGAGAATTATTCGCACTAATGATCCAAATTTCTCTGCCTAGATAAGTAAGGGAGCAGGTTCTACTAGTTACACCAGACAGGAAAGATATAAGCATACGGGACCCGTAATGGCAAACCGCACATTGAGTTGACCAATGTTAAACGAATTTCGCTTACTGCGCATGCCCAAAAGAGAATTTGGCGCAGTTACGACTTTGGCGCAATTTTAAAAGAAGATAAATACGGTATATGGTTGATATTATGTTATCTCGGGCGTAAACAGTTCGAGGTTTTAAAAAGTGTCAGGTTGTAAGTTGCTTCATTACTTGGAGTGTAAATATCGATTGTAAACTACCGAAATTTTCTTTTAAAAGGATTACAGGAAACATTAAAAGATGTATTAGCTAATTATACTTCTGAGGAATAAAAACAATTGAGTATTTACCATACGTTCCATTCATATATACTTTAACAAATTAAGCATTAAATATAGTTTAAATTACTGAATTAAAGGTCAAATAAATTACTTTAAGTAAAGGAAATAAACTGTTGCAATTGTAAGCAGTCGATAAGACCTACATGACGAACAGGGTTGTGTAGGGTTGCTTATGCTTAGTCGCCAGTATTTTCTCCCACGCCAGCGGTACACCATTGGGCATGCGCAGTAAGCGAAATTCATTAACATTGATCAACTCAATGTGTGGTTTGCCATTAAGCATACGGGACACCTAGTCCTTAAAATATGGTGATATTTGTACTTACGATGTTATTGATCTAATGAAGTATCCTATAGGGGCTTCGTGCTAAATTTCCAAAACTTTTTATGCAGTTATTATTCTAAAGGATTTCTCTCGCCTACTTAGCCTACCTTCGTGGTGTAATGGCAACATAATAAATACCTTTAATTTAATCTTTTTTTTTTTTTTTTTTTTTTTTTTTTTTGTAAAAATAGAAATAGTTTGGAAATTCTCTTTATTTTGCACGCGAGTTGTATGTGAGGAGCTGGCGTTAATGGACATGGAAGAGTTACTCTGGTGAGCCTTTTTCGCAGCAAATACCATATCCATGATGATTTGAATTAAGTTTGAAGTTCCTTTTTGCATGCAGGAAAGAGACAGACTTTGATTAAATTGTGAGCTGATTGCATTTATTATTAATTGCAGTTGCGTTACAAAATATTTCAGGGTGCAAGGAATAAGAAGAGATTGGAAAATCAAAATTAATTAGATTGTATGTTAGTTCGTTTAAGAAAGTTTGTCTCTTGAGCGTTAACATTTTGGTTTTAAATGCTTCTAGATCAGATAGAAGATATAATTGTGGTATTCCGTATGAAACTTACAATGAGGCATTATAATAGCAGGAAAGATTTTTGTTATGCTTAGGAGAAACACCTTTGGAGGGGCACGGAACTATAGCTTCTTCCTTTCTATTATATACAGGTCAGATAGCAGTTCTTAGCACAACAATTTTCTTTTTGACGGTGTTGGACAATACTTTCTAGATCTGAGAATTAAGGCCACAGTTATTATATCCTAATTCTTCCTATGCAGTTGGTTATTTTTGAAGTTTGAGTTCTAATGTCTTGAAGATGTTCCATCCAATTACATTCTTCGTCTATAACGAGTCCATTAAATATAAATAGTGATTCTTTTTGCATTAATTTTGAAGGAAGGTTTTCTTGCTTAGCTTTGACTGGACTTGTAAAATATCATTGCTTCGGACTTTTTTTCTGAAATTATCAGCTTTTGTGCGTTACATATTTGTTTGAGGACTGCAAGAATGTGGTTGTTGCTATAGTTGAATTGTTCCTTTCTTCTGCCGTAGATGATAAATGCGGCATCGGCTGCGAATGATAAGGTTCTTGTATGATTTTGCCGTTGATATGTACCAGCCGTTGTACGTTACATATTTGGTTGAGGACTGCAAGAATGTAATAGGTGCTATAGTTGAATTGTTCCTTTCTTCTGCCGTAGATGATAAATGCGGCATCGGCTGCGAATGCCAAGGTTCTTGTATGATTTTGCCGTTGGATATGTACCAGCCGTTATGCGTTATATATTTGGTTGAGGACTGCAAGAATGTAATTGGTGCTATAGTTGAATTGTTCCTTTCTTTTGCCATACATGATCAATGCGACATCGGCTGCGAATGCCAAGGATTTTGCCGTTGATATGAAATGCCAAAATCGGAATCCAGATATTCGCTCTTAAACAGGATCCTTGTGAATATGTTCTCGTAAGGTTATAACGTTGCGCGCCTCTAACTTGCACGCAACCAAGAGGTGACTGTGAAAACTTGTATAAAAGATAGAGCCTTGTGAAGGGTTTAAGTCCCTTTTTATTCAACGTAATAAAATTACAATTGCGTGCTCTTGACGCTCACAGACTGTGCCAACTTGGCAGTCAAAATAAAAATAATAACCTGAAAAGAAAGTAAAGACAAGATTCTAACTACGAGGCTCTCTAAAATAACTAACTCACCGCGTTTTACAATACCTCTGCTAATTCAGCAGACTTGAAGCTCACTGGAACGATTACCACTACTTCCCGCCAAGCACATAGGCCGCAACGCGGGGTTCTTCAATTCTCGCTAACTACCTCCGCGCTCGCTAAGTAGGAATATCACACCGAACTCGTTTCCTTCTATTTAAATCAGAATACTTCCGCTGATAATTTGAATCCTTGCGCGTTCTACTCAAATTTACATATTCTGGCATTGGCAGTTCCAGGGGAAAGTAAGGCTTGACAGGAAAGATAGTTTAAACTTAAAATAAATGTTAGTTAAAATAAATATAAACCCTACAAGGTGCTTTTCTACTATTTAGGTATAGTGGATGATTCGTCTTCTATTATATAGATAGACTTTAATAAAGGTGCTTCATGAGATGTTTGTTTGTCTGGGAGCTTGAAGTATAACAGAGTATAACAAATGCATTTTGAAAGCAAAGCAGAATTAAGATGTTAGTGACTTGTTCTGTAGTAATGTTCTCAAGATTTCACATACGACATGGGTTGTAAAACGATTTGGCCTGAATCCGTATCAACTCTGGCTGATTACTTGATATTTATGAAAGTGTTGCCTTATTATTTCGTCGACGACTCTTTCCTGAATTTTAAAAACTACTGGCAGCAGGCTGATGGATCTATATGAGTCTTGACCTGCTAGATCTTGGTATAGCTTGGAAAACAGATCATATGTTCACTCTCGAAAACTTTGGAAATACATTTAGTTGAAGATACTTGTTAAATAAATCTGTAAGTAATAAGGGTGAAACTTTTTGAATTAATTTTATGATTTTTTTTTATTTATTTCGTCCATTCCCTTGCCTTTATATTAGATTTTTATATAAAATTTAGATGCAATTTTGTAATTGAGAAAGATTCATTAGAAATTACCTGGAAAACATGTTAAGACCTGTCCCGTTTTTAAGGGAGGTTTTACTAGTCACTAAAAATTATTTCTTTAATGCGAT